GGTGGCCCGGTGGGTGGCTGGCCAGGGGTGGGTGCAGGCGGCCTGGGAGGGGCAGGAAGTCGGCCATGGACACCGCCCAAGAGGGCTAATAAACGCCAGTGAGCGTCACCACCCAGAGGGACCCAGGAAGCCCGGCCTCTGAGGCCCACAGGAAGAAATGGGGAAGGAGCTGGCGGGAACCCAGCAACCCCGGCCTGGTGGAGCATGGAATCTGGTGGCTGTAAGGCCAGGCCCCCGAGTTTTCCAAGAAGGTGACATCTGGCCTCAGAAGCACACAGCGGGTTCAGGGTGCCTGGACCATGTGTCCCTCTGGCTAGACGGGACCCAGTGTCCTGGGACTCTTGGAGGGAGCGGTTGGTCCTGACCTGTGTCCCACCCCGAAGGGCCTGGTGAGTGGGAGCGGGAGGCAAGGAGACTCGGGGTATCTGGATTTGTTCTTGGGGATGGGCCCCCCTCGCCGGCTCAGTGTGTCTTGGCGCCGGTTTCCAATGCTAAGATTTATGGCCTGGAGGAAGGGGAGGGCAGCAACTGGGGAGGGTGGCCCTGAGCCCACCCTGGGCACTGCGCCCACTTCTTCCTGTGCGGTGGGCAAGGGCTCAGGGCCCAGCCCTGGAGCTGAGGTTCAGAGTGGGCGAGGGCTGGAGTGAGACTCTCCTGCTGAAGCCACAGGCCACGGGCCGGCAACAGGGCGGGGTGGGGTGGGGGCAGGCGTGGTGAGGACGGATGCTCACAGGGCAGCAGGGCTCTGAGCCCACTTCCCTGGGAGGCCTGGGCAGGGCCGGGTGGGGTCAGGGACTGAGGAAGTGGTTCTGCCCAAGGTCCGTGGTCCACCCCACCGTCCCAGCCGAAGTCCCACTCAGCAGATGGGGAAACAGGCCCAGCGTGGAAGAGGACTTGTCTGAAGCCACACAGAGGGCTGGGGACGCAGAAAAACTCAACCCCTGGGAGGCAACTCTTACATCTCCAACCGGGCCGAGCCTTGACGGCGCTTGGGAAGCGGGGTGGCAAGGAAGGGCAGCGTCTTGGCAGGGTGGGTTTCGAGGGGACTTGGTCCCCAGAGCGAGGTCTCAGAGGCACGGAGATGGTGGCCGGTTGTGGGCAGGGGCAGGGTGGCTGCCCCTCCTCGGGTGAGAAGCCCCGGGGCTCTCTGCCCCCCCATCTGCCATGTGCCTATGCCCGTGACCCAGGGCCCTAGGGGGCAGCCTGAGAGGCCCCTGAACTCCCAAGGCCCATCCCAAAGGTGCCCTCACATGCTGTCCCGGAAACTGTGCCATCCACAGGTGTCTCTTACGTGGGTGTGACCCCCTGGGCTGGGAGGACTCCGGACCCCTCAGGGTCCCTTCTCCTCACAGCCTGTCCACGCTCCCCTCCCCCACCACGACTGGCCACCATCTCCATGCCTCGGGGGGCCAAGTCCTCCTGAAACTCACACCGGCCAGGACGCTGCCCTGCCCTGCCACCCCGCTTCCCAAGTGCCGCCAAGGCGCAGCCCAGTTGAAGATGTGAGAGTTGCCTTCCAGGGGTTGAGTTTTTCTGCGTCCCCGGCCCTCCGTGTGGCTTCAGACAAGCCCTCCTCCACGCTGGGCCTGTTTCCCCATCTGTTGAGTGGGACTTCGGCTGGGAAGGCCAAGTCTGGCAGTGGCTGGGCCTGGTGCTCTCCAGCTCTCCCTTGGGGCAGGACAGACACCCTCGGCCAGGAAGGACCCCAGGCTCCCCTCCCTTTGACCCAGAGCGGTAGCAGGGGAGGGGTTGGGTGCAGCTGGGGACAAGTCCCCAGGGCGGGCGCCGGCCCCCACCTTCCATCCCCCGGGGGCACCAAGAAGGACGGGTTGGGCTCTCTGGACCACAGCAGTCACACACAGCTCAGCCTCGGCTGGGGGCCTGGACTAGTCAGGTGACGGGGCAGGGGCCACCGTCCATATGCTCAGCCCTGGAGTCCGGGACTCCCCATGGCTGGGGTGGGTACTCATTCTGTGCCCATTTTACAGATGAGTCCACTAAGGCCTACAGCGCTCACACCGCTGGCCTGGGGTCACCAGCAGGAGAGCCAGGCTCGGGTTCACGGAGCCCGTTCTGGGGTCCTTCCCAGGGACAGCGTGTGGACTGAGGCTGGGCAGCAGAGGTTGGCCTGACCACCAGGGCCGAACAGGCTTCGCCTGGCTCCACAGGTCACGCCAAGAAGCCACCTCACCTGGGGCTCTACCGGGCTGCAAACCAGCGTGGGGTGTGAGCCAGGTGAGGGCGTGACCCTGCCTGGCTGCGAGGGGCAGTGGGGATGGGTTGCCTGAGATCACGCACGCGGCGGTGGCTGCACCCACCTGGGCTGAGAGGGTAAAGTTCATTCTCTCCGCCGAGAAGCAGATTCCGGTTGAGCTTCCGGGGGTCGACCTTCTGTGGGGTGGAGGTCGGCGGGCACAGAGAGAAGCGGCGTCGAAGGAAGGTTTCCTCCTTCATGGCGTGGGTGCTCGGGGGCTTCTGGGAGGGAGGAGGAGGGGACATAGGGTCATGCTGGGGCTACCCCACCCGTCCAGGAAGGCCCAAGGCCAGGGGGACCCCGGCTGGCACCCGGGTCTCCTTGGGGACTCCTGAGATAGGTTGAAGAGGACTTGGGGGGATCCCGGGGGGCCAGCCGTCTGGCCTGGCTCAGGCAAATGGCTCTCCCAGTCCCACGCGGCGGGGCCCAGGTCAGGGGTGGCCAGCACACAACAGGTGGCCTTCTCTGAGTCCCCCACTCAGGCAGACCCACGCTGACCCGCACAGGGCCACCAGATCCCTCCTGGGTGACGGGGTTCCAGGCAGGGAGGGGTTGAGAGCCCGCTGATCGGGGACAGGACACAAGCCCCTGAGGCGCAGGGAGAGGCTGGGTGGTCC